ACAAAAATCCAGAAATAAAACAAAATCTATATGGAATATTGTAAAACAAACATTACCAGCAAATTACAAAACACAAAATATTGATCTAGTCCATGAACACAGAAGAATAACAAACCCTAATGAAACCGCCAGTACATTCAACAAACACTTCTCTGAAATTGCTGGTAGACTACTAAAAACAAGAAATCCAAACACTACACCTCTACATCACAGAAACAACAGAAAAAGAAATACTTCAAATTATAAACAAAATGCAAAATAAACAATCCGCTGGGATAGACAACATTCCTGACTTCTTAATAAAAAATATTGCTCCATATATCATCAAACCATTAACAATCACGAACTCGTGGCTCCTTCCCAACCATATTTAAAACTGCTGTAATTAAACCTATACACAAAAAAGGTAACAAACAAGATGTAATGAATTATAGGCTAATTTCACTCTTGTCAGGTTTTTCAAAAATATTAGAAAAACTGTACTACGAAACATTAAAAAACTACTTGATACACTGTAACATTATCACAGACTCACAACATGGATTAAGGGAAAATTGTTTAACTGAAACCGCTCTATTCACCTTTGTAAATGAAATCCTCATGGTATTAGAGCAAAAAGAAATTCCTGTTGGGTTGTTCTCGACCTGTCAAAAGCTTTTGACACGATAGATCACACAATTCTATTGTCAAAATTAGAGAATACAAGAAATTGCTTACAATTGGATAAAATCATACCTGTCAGACAGAAAACAAATTGCCTTACCAAAAGACAACAAAATAAATAATCATCACTCCGAGCCAAGGGATGTGACATATGGGATCCCGCAAGGATCCACACTAGGCCCGATTTTATTTCTTATGACCTGCCATCAATAATGGAAAACAACAAAACCATACTTTTTGCTGGTGACACTAATATAATATTCAAAGAAAGAACAACCAAAGCTTTGCAAGACAAAGCCAATTCAGCCATCGACAAGCTAGTATAATGGATCCACCATAACAAACTAATCCTAAATCAAGACAACACAATCACACTTCCACAACTTCCACTCAACACAACAATACTCACACTCACCAAATTTAACATTAGAAGGAAACAGCATCACACAAGCACAAAAAACAAAATTTCTCAGAATCATCATACAATCCAACCTCAAATGGAACTCTCAACTAGAAGATATTAATTCAAAATTGAGCAAACTTAATTATGGTATTAGAATAATAAGAAGAAACAGCACCATTGGTCAACACAAAGAGTGTACTTTGCAAATGTGCACTCTATTCTCAAATATGGAATAATAATATGAGGCCAAGCACCAGAGCCTAAATAAACATTCAAAATACAAAAGAGAATCATTCGAACAATAACAAATATAAAAAGAACAGAGTCCTGCAGACCTCATTTCAAAAAACTTAACATACTTCCACTGCCTTGTATTTTTATTTATGAAGTTATAATGTTTGTAAAGAAAAATTTAGTAAACAATGACACACTTTACAAATTTAACTCAAGCTTACACTCCTATAACACAAGGCAAGCATGTAACCTTGAAAAAATCTGGCCATAACCTGCCTCCTCCTCCCCATTTCAAGATTTAATCAAGGAATATGTTAAAACCTATGTAGCTGTTACTATAATAGTTATCATGAACTGTTAGTATTACTATTATTATTTTATAAATAATGTTATCTATTATTATTATTATTATTATTATTATTATTATTATTATTATTATTATTATTGTTATTATTATTATTATTATTATTATTACTACTACTTCTACTGGATATAATATTAACTCTTTCCTCACTATAAGTAAAAACAAGTCAATAATAGACTTTGAAATTCTTGCTTCACAAATCAACAAGGATTTAATATTCAAAACGTTCATAAAAATTATAGCCAGAAAAAGATCTTTCTATTTATTTAAATTGTGTAACTTTGCCTCCACTAATTTTGTTTGTAATTTTTTTTTTCTTTGTAACCTGACTTGTGGTATTTATTCAACATGTGCTTAAAGACTCAGTAATTGATTCTTATATATCTTAAACATGTTTACAGGCAACTCACACGTGAATTGGAATTAATAATACAAGCTCAATAAATATAGAAAGAGAAATCAAACACAAATTTTCATTTAAATTTCACTAGTCTGAGTTTTGTGCAACAATATTTGTTTTTAATACAAACAATAAACATTTTTAAACAGCAAAGGTAATGATTCTTTTCATAAAAGAAGGATGTATAAAATAATTGAAAACTGTGCTAATTAAACTAAAACAATACTTAAGTGCTATTTCTGAAGCCTTCATTTTTATTTCTTGTTCTGGGGGAGAACTTCAATCACTCACAGACCCCCATTAGAAGCGAAGAAAAGTTGTGCACTAAACTAGAACAATGTCCAGATCTACATTGATGATTCCTATGTGATGAGTATTATTGATTGCTTGATGACATGGTTTTTATTTCTTGTATTTAAAATTCACTGCTTCCTGTGCTTCAAGCCTCTTCACTTCTCTTGCTATGTTCAATAAAACCTGTTAAATTGGCCACCTCAATCATTGGACATTTTCATCTGGAATCAATTTATTTTCCCATTAGGCATGTGTAAATGTTCTCTCTTTTAAGTGGTTACCTGACACCAGGGTCATTAGCCAGGCACATTTTGTAGATTAATCTGAATTAGATGGCCACAACTTTCTGACAAATATGCATCTGAAGACTGATAGATATTACTGTTTTTTGAACCTTCATGCAAGGGATGCACAGACAAATTACAGTATAATGATATCCTTATGAATTGTTAGAGTTGTATTATGAGATGCTTAAGTTGGAGGGTGATTAATTTCTGATTCAATTATCAATAAATTATTCACATACATGATCTAAAATTCCTTGAGTGAGAACTGCAGCTTCAACTCTAGTTGAGAAGTCCATATTTAATAGGAAGAAAGAATTACCAGAAATTTATTTATTTAGATTAAGATTTGTTTAAGTATGTGAGTACAAAAAAGCTACCATTATTATGTGAAATAAGTATAGTTAAATATGTGTTAGCAAGCAATGCATACTAAGTTAATTGCTGAGATAAAAAATTAGGTCAATGTCCACATCCCATATTCTGATAACCTCCATTATGTAGCCAGCTATACTAATGACCATTTATCTCTAGAACCAAAGGTAACCACTTAAGATGGATTTCCCTATACCTTTGGTAGAAATCTTTTCTTTAATTCCCATTTTTTCAATGCTATCTGACATAAAATTATTTGGACATTCTGCAATTTGTCTTTTAACACATTGACTGAAATGGGGGTTCAATGCAGTCTGTGGCTCTGTGGCCTCTCCCCCTACGTGAAGCCATGCCCAATTTGAGTCTATCTCTAAAAGTAAGCAACATTTCATCAATGCAAACATTTTTATGCGGAACAATTTATGCTTAAAAGACTCAGTTTGACATGCAAAGGACAGAGGATTTTAGAGAAGAAGGATTTTACAGAGACTGTCATTGATATTGGCAGTCCTGTTTCTGCTGAATTGTACGGTCTGTATCAATAGTTGAAATCGGTTCTGAGACATCACAGTTTGTTTGTTATTTTTGTATAATGAAATTTTAGACCACTAGGATTTGATGCTAGGGTACTGACATAAGCCTATCCATATGAGTATTTTCAAGAACTGTTTTATTTTACTGGAATTAGTATCATGCCATGACTTTATAATGGGAATATTGTGAGCCACATGACACCATGTGGCCAAAGTGTCCCAACTCAAATAAAAATGCATATTTAAGATCTAATATGAATTCAGCTATATTAATGTCCAAATTAGAAACCAAAATTATTAAACAAATGATCTGGCTGATAGGAAAAATTTTTGTGAAGTTGGTTTGGAACTAAATGTGTTAATAATCACCAAAGCTCACATTTTGGACACAGGTTTTAATTTCTTATTAATTCCAAGTATATACTTCATATGACAAATTTTGCAATTACTTTATGATTGAATGTTTTAGAAAAACAACAACCACAACACATTCACACACCCACAAATGCACGCACACACATGACTTTTTTATGAAAAATGTTTTCATCAATTATATTCCATAAAATTCTTCTGCATTTTACCCTACGACATTACATACTTTTATAATATCAAGTCAAATTTTGATTTAATCATTGAAATTCTTCATCAATAAAATCAAGGGGGAAAAATAAATAAAATCAATTTAATTATTGATACTGTGACTGTCATATTAAGAAGAAAAACAATTCATTGCAATGTGATCAACTATTGTGTTTTACAACACTGATTAAACACAAAACTGAATTTTTTGCAGAGCATTAGGATAAGTCGACCCGCAGCTTTCATGCTGCAGAAGTATTTAAGTATTTGATACCATGACAATATATCCTTCTGAATGATACTCTATCTAAGCAAAAATGAAAATTGCTTCACATTGGAACCTAACTTACAATCACTTTTTCTGACAACACATACTATGAAATGGGAATACCCTCCAAAAAAACATCCGAAAGAGGTAGTTTTTGTAGATCACAGCACAACAACTTGCTTACAGTTTTGGGATTCCAAGGCACACCATTTCAGAGTTACGTACATTGGCAATGTACAATCCAGTGTAATAGGTATTGTGAGTTGTATGTGTACTTGCTGTTCCCTAGTACCATAACCATTTCCTTATAAAATCTGCAAATGTTTCTAAATGTTTCCTTTTTGAATCTGTTTGAATCACTCCTATGTGGTAATTCCCTATCCAATAGTAGCACATTACAATATTTTATGTTATTGGAGTCACATAAATCAAATATTATATATCTATAAAATTAAATTTTTCTAATGGTATTATTGTTACAATGCGATAGAAAATCAACAATGAGAGCAACATAATGTTTAATCTTTTAAACATTTTATATGACTCTCATGTTTATTATGAAAAAGTCAGTGCCAGTTTTCAGCACTGCCAGATTAAAAGTACCTTTACTTTTATGACGAATAGGCAACAGTTTTGGAAGATCCAAAGACCTCACTATTTTCCGCACATCTTGAATTCTTTCTTTAACTTTATCCATATGAGCTGTAAGATGAGATGTTATGAAGAGGTATGATGTGCCAAACACCATAAAGCCTATTGCAACAGCGCCTTTAGTTCTGAATGCAGTGCCAGGTCGCACGCTGTAACTTGCTTCTTCAGGAACTGAAACATTAAGCATCACTTGTAAAAGAATCCATTTTCTTTAAAAATTAATTGAACTATCATTCAAAGGAAGCAAAAGTCAATAACATAGAAGCAAATAAATTCTTCTGAACCTTTAATAGGTTTCATGGATTCAGAAAAAACAGAAGATAAATAATATTCCTTTAAAATGGACTTGATTATATGTGTAATTTATATTTAAAATTTCTCAAAAGATATTGCAACTGAGAAGCATTTTAAGCACGATATCACCCAAAGGAATCTTTTTCCTCACATAGTAAGCAAACAAGGGAATAAGAGAGATTTTTTATTTAGAAAATTCAATTAGTGGCCTATGGGGGAGGGGGAGCCATGGGGGATTAGAAACCCTTTTGTTGGAATTTTGACAAAAAAAAAAGCTTATGTGAAGAGATTAAAAATTCTTAGAACCAATTAACCAATTAATTCAGAGTCTGGGGTAAGTTGCTTTGGCTGCCCCCAGTCCCTCCTGGATGCCGTTGGTATTTTATGATGCATTAGATTATCTCCAACTACTATATCAAATAATAGAATTTAGTTTCTATGAATCTATATTGCATACAGAGAAAATACACGCCATCGTGAAACACAACTTTACCGGAACAAAACCAAAGAAGATCTCGTCGAATGAATATAGCAAGATGTAATGTTCCAAGCACAGCAGAATGTAAAAGCAAGTGTGATGGCCCCAGAGTTTCTTGAATGTTGACTTCCCATTCAAAGCGTTCTGAGTAACTTTCTTGAGTACCAACAACAATTACATCAGGTACGTGCTCAAGACTTGGAGGAAGCATAAAATCATTCAATTCTTGTGGAGGTGCCTGCAAGTTAATCAAATTTATTACTGTCTATTAGTACATATTTACTTGAAAATTATAATATGGAAACTGCTTACTTGTCCATTCATGTTCCATGTCCCCACAAAAATACGTAATTCTCTGTGTGGAAGAGTTCTTTCTAATTCTAGTGATCCAAGTAAAGAATTGGCAGCTATTCTTCCATGCAAAAAGTTTCTGTAGAAATGAACAATGCAGTATATATATATATATATGCTACAGAAATCAATGTAAATTCTCTGTAGGTAGACTGACTCACAGACCTCTCTCTTGCTTTGATTGTAGGAATAAGGTGAAGAACTTGAGCTGCTAATAATGAATGACGAGCTAAGCTGTCCATTGAAGCCACAAACCCGTGACTTCTGGAAACTCCCATACTGCTACCCACAGTTGTCTCACTGCCAGATGGCATCAATTTGTTCTTGTGATCTTCTTTGGGAGGCAAAACAGTGTCATGTGATGTAGATCTAATTCGGTAACGATATGCTTCAGGTGCACTTCTACTAGAAGCTGGAGAAGAATGGCGTGCAGATGGATTCAAAGAGCTCAAAAGATTGTCTGCTGAGCGTCTCTTAGATAACAGGTGTTTACGGGAATGATGCTCAGGAAATGAGCTTGATAGAGGTGATGAATCATGAGATGAAGATTCACTTTGGGTAGGGGAAGCAGCAAGTGAAGTAGCAAAAGGTTTCTGTTTACGTTCTACTGTTTCATTTTCAGCTTTTCCACTCTTTAATTCTTGAAGAAATGATTCAGAATTGACTTTGTCCTCAAGAGAGGAGTTTTTTGAGACTTTTGATGATTGTTTGGAATTACTTTCACTATCTCCTGAAGGGCCTTTTTCACTCATTTCTAAGGGTAAACTCTGTATGTTAGTATGATGTTGATAATCTGAACTGTGAATGTGACTAGATGATCGTGACCCTTCTGTCATAGCACAACATAGGGACAGTTTTGTACTATTTCCCAAATCTTTTGCTGATGCCAGGTTGTTTAGCTCTGTGCTTTCCACTCGTAAATCTGACTCTGACATGGAAACATTACTCTCTCTAAATTGTAAGGAACCTAAAGAAGACACGGTTTCATGTTTTATTGGCTTATGTTCTGGAGGAATTGTATGCAAACTTAAATCTTCGGATTCTGTAGACAAACACCCTACTTTTGTTTTCCTCTGCATCAGCAATCTACAAAGTGATTTTTTCTTTGCTTTTGATTTTGGAGATGTACACTGACTGTCATCATCTCCACCTCCACTACAAATTTCCATTTTCCTATCAGAAAAGTATAAAAAGAGAGCATTGGTATAAAGTATTAATGAGATTTTCTTAGCACAGTAGAAAAGTGAATTTTCATAAATTGGTTTAATAAATAAACTAGTGTATAACAGGTACTATTTTCAATTTACATTGTACTCTACAAGCTAATAATTTGAAATTAGCTAGTGCAAAGTTACATGGTATTAGTACTGACATATCCCTGTGCAAAAGCGAATCGGGCTTCTTGTCATTCGCTAAAATCACAACTAGTCTTTATTATTCTTCATGGTGAATCTACGTGCAGCATTACGGAACATAAATCAGAATGAATGCACTGCGAATAACGACGAAAAATACGACTACAAAAACGAGAATACGCAATTAAAACGACGCACACACCTGGTCATTACTTCATGAACTTGTAAGCGTGTTTCCAAAACACAAGTTGTTATAACAGGTCAGTCTCCAGAGAGGTGACAACAGAAAACTAATACAAATAATATATGAGATTTATTATAAATTCAGGCAAACGGCAGAGATTTGACGAGGGCTGAACTAGGACATTTCTAATTAGAAAATACTGTAGCTGGATTGGATCGGAATTGTGGAAGCCGGTGAACGCACTAATAACAGCACGTTTGAAGAAATTCACTGATAATTTAAAAACTGTGAGTTTTTCTTTAGAACTGCGTATCACCGACTCGTTAAAAATGCATTTACAACTACAACTACTGTGGACAAAAAAGAAAAGAATCGATTAGACACTAACGTCATCTTGCATGTTACCCGAATTTTCCTCGAAAAACAAAACAAAACATCAGTTATCCAGAATTAGCATCACTGTACTTTGCCGGGGTATAATTTATTCTGATAATGATTGACGAAAAAGTAGATTCATTCAACATTAATAGGCATATTTTTGGATCGGTTGGTTACTAATTAGGTTTTATTGCTTATTTATATACTTTTTAAATGCCTTTGCATTCTAGAAACGCTTTACGTACTATTTTTTAAGTCAAATAATATTAGTGAATATAATTATATTAGTGTGCAAAGTGTACGATGAAAGCCAGTTACGCTGATGGTGCACCGCTACACTTGGCTTCGAAAATTAAGAGTTGGACAGTCAAACTTTCACCGTGCAGGTTTTACGCGGAGACGGAAAGTAGTATTGTAAGGTTTAGGATTAATGCAAAATGACAGAACTGTCGGAAGTGCGGAAAAATGCGTCCGTTCTGTGGTTTCGACATGGCCTGAGATTACACGATAACCCAGCTTTACAAGAAACATTAAAAGACAACGATGTCTTTTTACCCATTTTTATATTTGATGGCAAAACCGCAGGTAGATAATTTTTCCAACCTGTTTTTTTTCGCTACCGTTCACTGATAATTAATTACTTCGTTTTGTGTACTTTGAAGGAACAAATATTATTGGATACAATCGTATGAAATTCTTGCTGGAGTCATTACAAGATATTGACAATAAGTTACAAGAAGTTGGAGGCAAATTATCTCTCATTCGAGGAAACCCTGTGGAAGTCTTTCATTTTATATCCGAAAAGTTTAATCTCCGTAAAATCTGTTTTGAGCAGGTAAACTTACTTGACTGTAAAATGAATGACTATGAAAAGTATCTTCGATTTTCTCATGTAAATTAAGGAATTACACTTTTTTTCGTAGGATTGTGAACCAATCTGGCAAGAACGTGACAATGCTGTGAAAAAATTTTGTCTTGAAAATAAGATAGAATGTTTTGAAAAGGTTTCGCATACTCTATGGGATCCATATCTTGTCCAGAAAACAAATGGAGGTGTACCACCACTTACTTTCCAGATGTTTTTGGTTAGTTCAAATTGAGAAACTAATCCCATAAATGGGGAAATGAGTACCCTATTTTGAAACATTTTCTATTTATTTTATTTCAGCATACTATATCAGTTCTTGGGTCTCCTCCAAGGCCCATTGGAGATGTAGACTGGACTTTGGTTGAATTTGGAACATTGACACCATTGCCTTTTCCTCACAATTTACATGTAGGTTTTTTCTGTTCTATTTTCACTTACATATATTACTAAATATAAAATTAAATCAGATGGAAAAATGATAAAAGTATGGAATGTGAAATAGGGTAAATTTTTAGCTTCAGTTAGAAAGAATATGGATTTATTGGTAAGAATTTAAAGGTACCTCAAAGTGTTATGTTATTGATGTGTTGACACATATTAATTGGGAATTAAATAAGTGAACTAGGAGTGATTTGTATGGATTTACACACACTTTAATGAACCCAATTTGTCTGATAATGAATATGAATTTTGCAGTTTTGAAAAACAGCAAATTATTTTCATGGATTTAAATTGTGTAATTGCCCTTTCTATTTCTATATATATTAAATTTGTTGGAATCCGCTTTAGATAGTGCAGTTTCCACTTAAATGCTCTACGTGCAACCTAATAAAGTACACTCTGAAGTACAAAACTTGTTAAGAATCTACATGGTCTGCTTTCTTGCTGCTTCTCGTGTACTACCATAATAGTTATTCAGTAAATAAGTCTGTCTCGTAGTTTGACTTTAGACAGGAAACCACTTAAAAGTGGATAAAAGTATTATAGTGTTCTATTGAAGGCTTGTCCTCATAGTCTTTGTATATGCAGGAATGCATTTTCCTTGTCAAGAGGTGAAGCTAAGGAAGATTAGGACTGGGCAGACTCCATGCAACACCTTTTCCCATTATTGATATTCCCTCTCTTGTTGGCATGATTTGTAGTTTAGATATGATGTTTCAATTACTTGTCCTTGTTTTAAACAATTAACCATTACTCATTGTTAAATCTCAAGAACTAGTCTTTTCTGCATTATACAATTTTCATTTGCCAGGGCCATGATGGACTTGAGTACTACTGAGAAGAGCCATAATCAGATCACAATTATCCGGCATTAACCACAAATTAATTATGAATGAGAATGGTCTGCAAGTGTGCAGCAGGTTGGCAGGTTAAGTTAGTGATGCTGCCCAGGTGCCACATAGTATAGGTCAGCCATGTCAAGGACATGGGCAAGTTTACAAACTTCCTCGAGCTCGCCACTGTCTCCAGGGGGGTAAGGGTTGCACAAACTGGTTTGGGGTACTTCATTCGATACCTGGCTTATGACAGTTGTTTGGAGAAGTTAAATGAGTTATTGCCTCAGTGAGTGATTAGAATCCCCGTTTCCAGTTCTATAACATATCTATTAATATGTGCACTTTTGAATTGAGAATCAAATTAAAATTTTCCATCCAAAGAAATTTGACTGCGTTTACTTAAAGAATGCAATAATTGCATTAACAATAGTGCCTATGCTCACTTTAGGAACAAAGATTATTGTCTGCTGGTAAGAATGATATGCTAAATTTAAGGATAGGCTTTACATCAAGAGAAACCACAGAGTTGTTTCAAAAATTTACTTCACATTATTGCTATATATATCAAATAATATAATTAATAAAACAAAACAAATGAAAATAAAAAAGAATATGCAGTTAAAACATATTCTTCCCAAAAATAATTATATTATTCTGCCATGGCCAAAAAGGTTGTGTGCATCTTTGAATTTTCACTCTTTATTTCTTTGAAGTTTCGATCCTAGTTGGTAAAAAATGACTTGTGCCGTACTATACATATTATCACAACTTGTTTTTATTATGGTTACAATACCTTCTACTGGATTGCTTTATTATTTATTATATTTGACAGTTTACTGATTTAATATCCATCACATGAATGTAATATATTATTATTTATATATTTTTTGAATATCAACTAAGCCCAAAACGACAAATAATTAAGTTATTAAAAAATATTTTAGTGTCTATTTTAATAAGGTCAGAAAACTATTCAATCATCCAGCATATCTTTCAAAATGTTAGCCATAATTATTCGTATCATCATCAAGAGACTTTAATTTGGAAAATGATAGAAATCTGGGTTTGATTCTCCTTTTTGCATAAGATTAATTCACTTCAGAATTCTTCCATAGTTTCCTTTACATCAGTTATTTAGTGATCAATTCCTTGTGTTTGCATTTTTAATCCATGCAGGTGAACCCCAAAATTTATCAAAAAGGTCAGGTACCCTTGCCACTCAGTCACCCTTGCCATCGTGTCCCGTGCATATTAAAGGTGCACTGGTAGCGTTTGTACACCCGGCTTTCTTACAAAGCAATGTAAGCTGCACTTATGTGACGACCGTATTACTTTCTCGCCCTTAAGAAAAAGTTGGAATAGTAATGCTGCGGGAGAGACCGGCCGGAATTTTCGACAGAAAAACTTATTGCCGGGACCTGGAAATGAAAAAGTGTATAAATCCAGTTGTGACCGATCCGTCTGTGAACGACGTTAGTGGCTAAACCGTTCAGTCGATTTTCTCCAAAGTTATTTCCTAATTGATCTGGCTGATGTCGCTGCCCCTTAAATTTGAAAACGATATTTTAGTTTCGCTGTTACTTTACATGAAGCACCTGGCTATTCAAAAAAATAGCATAGTTTTTTATTAAATTTTGTTGTTGGATAGTGTGAAGAACGTGCGAATTTCGTATGCTTCGTTTCAGGCGTTACCAGTTCGGAAATTAGCAAACGAGGTTTCAAAATTCTTCGAATTCATCCCATTGTTGTCGGTCATGATGATTGTATAAAGTAGATTGTTGTGTTAGATATATTTCTTAAAGTTCGCTTTGAGCTAATGTTCGTTGGCAAACATAACAACTAGAATTAGAATTATTAGATAGAAGAACATAATTAACATTTAGAATTGGGTTTACTATTAGAATTAGGGGTCGATATAATAGTTCCAATTTATTTCTAGCTAACTCTAAAATTCACTCTAGTTTACATGAACACTTCACTACACTACACTTCACATCACTTCACTGTACAAGGGCCATGACGATAATAATAATAAACGTAATAGTAATATAATAATAATAAACAATAATAATAAAAGTAATAATAAAAGATAAATGTCTCAGTCAGTATTATTCGAGATGATTCTAGATGAATGAAACATATTTTTAAATTTGGCTACATTAGAGGAAGAGCCTCTCGTGCTTCTGCAATTAGTTTATTCCAATCTACTATAGTGCGATCACAAAGGAGAACTTGCCTACATCAGTTTTTTGCTTTCTACATCGTATTTCCAAGGGTGGCATCCTCTGCTTTTATTAATCTGATTTCTGTAATCTTTTACCGATATCTGCCCATGCTGTGTCCCCTCTGTATGTCTTATACATTAGCATAAACCGCCCGTTCCCTTTTCCTTAGATAAGGACTCCCATTCTTACTCTTCGTCACCAACGCACCTGTGATTTTACAAACTTTGAGGCCCGTTTTTGAATTTTATCTAACGCTTCGATTTGCCCTTTTCTGTACGGGTCCCAGCATGCCGCTCTGTATTCTAAATTGAACGAACAAGTGTAGTATATGCTAGGGAATCGGCATTTGACTACTATTTTTTAGAATACGCATTACAAAGTGCAGCGCTCTCCAGATGTTTTAACCGTATTGTTAATATGCTCCGACCAACCATAGTCGCTTCGCAGACCAAACCAAATACTTACAGTTTTTTACTCGTGGTATAACGTTATTCCAATTCATAACTGGAGCGTACGTTCGAGCGAGACTTGGTAAAGCAAATGAATTTACTCTTTCCGGATTTAATTTCCATCTTAATTTCTGCACGTCCAGTTCCATAAACAGTTAAGATCGCTCTGTAAACCCATTTTCGTCCTCAGACGAGCCAATACTTCTATATATATGCAATCTTCGGCGAAATGTCAACTTTGATTTTAATCCATGGCAAGTCATTAATGAACGCTAAGAATAGCAAAGCCCTAACACACTCCCCTGGGGGGCCCCGAGGTACATCGGCTTTCGGATGAATATCTGTCTCCTATTTGGCTGTTGGAGTGCGCACCGTAAGAAATTCTTTTATCCACAGGTATATTCGATGAATCTATTCCCGTATCTGACAATTTGGCAATTAAAAGGTCATGCGGAAACAAGATCAAATGCCTTAGAAAAAGTCTAAATATTATTCGTCGACCCCACTCCTTCCCTATGAATCTGATATGTCCTGACAAAAAGCAATTGTCTGGGCTGTCGCACGAATACCCAGGACGAAAACCGTTGATTTTGAAATAGCCAATCAGTTTTATTCCAAAACTCGTCTAATATACTCCGTGATATTGTGTTTCATCTGTTTGCATACGACTGATGTCAAAACTTATAGGCCTGAATTGTTAACATCCTTCTGTCTCCTCCCTTGTGAATCGGCACTACGACTTGCCTCTTCCAATTTTGAGGAATCTGCTATTATTTACAGTAACCTCTATAAGCGGCCCAGGTACGAATCATGGCTTCACCTCCCAGTTTTAGTATTTCTTCTGTATTCCATCAGGACCTACTGATTTATTTCTTCTAAATTTTTTTTCCAATTCGTTTTCTAATAATTCCCTCCATCGATTCGAAAAGTTTTCTATTACGGGTGTTGGTTTCACTTACTATTGGTTTGTATCCTTCGCTTTTGAAAGATGAATAATGTCTGTTAAACAAGCCGCCTTTTCACGGTCATCTGTAATTAACGAACCATCTGCTCCGCAGATCGCTAGAAATACTTTCTTTGTCCCTTCTTATGTCTCACATACTTGAAAGAAATTTTGCCAACAGGTCAATCGGTCGCTTAGAATTGATTTAGTAATTTTCTTGGGTAATGTAACTTAATGTGCTAATAAGTCTTAAATAATTGGTAGAAATTATTTTTCTGATCCTTATTTAATATTACGTTTACTATACGCTTTCCTAACCGCCTTTTCAGTCGCCTCACTTCTTTGTTATAGTACACAGGATCCGAATGGCACCCGTAGTTCCTGGTAGCAACGAATTTTGCTAAGCATTCAGAAATAATGTCTTAAAATTGTGACCAGATGTGTTCTACTGTACATCCGCTAGAAGCCCAAGCCGGGAAAATTGCTTTTCAAGTAAAATTGCATGTTTGTGACG